GCATGGTAGGGAAATGGTACGACGGGAAGACAGTATTCGGTGTGAAAACCAATTGTCTAGGTAACATTTAAAAAAGACGAATGTTTAGTGTTAATACGTCCAATTTACTATGGTTATCATCATCATCATTGTCCTACTGACATTGTCCCCAGCTCTAAATAGGTACTAGGTAATGTCCTGAAAAGTAAAGGCGGCCTGCAAAATGTTGACAATATCACCCAAAAGGGTATGCAATATTTTATCAAAATATGTGCCTGCCTGTTTGATTTCATGTAATATTTCACCAGAATGTCTGCACGCCAGCAGGGCTGCCGAAGTTGGTACTTCCTTTCACATTTGGTACTGTTTAACCCTAGCTGAGCAAAACTGTACTTTTGCTACCACGCCCGATGTTTTGGTACGTTGTAGACGTTTTGCACTAATATTTAAAATTGTGACAATGTACTCTGGATCTAATACGCGTTACTAAGGGAAGACCTACGCCAATTACGCCATTGGTCATGGCATTCCCAAGCCTTGTCAAAGAAGAACATCATCAACAAATAAATAAACACAGAAGGAAAAGAACTAATGTGCAAAATCAACCACCTTACGCTGTGGGGCGGAGGGGAGGGGGCGGGGGGGGGGGGGGGGGGGGGGAGGGGGGGCACCAGAAAACATTTTGGTTTACAATTTAGAAGAAAAATCGTGGTCCATTAGATAAAAATGTATGCCTAATCTTTTGGCATCATCTCATTCCTCTGCAGCTGCTTAAGAATATTAGGATTAAAAAAAAGACAAAAGAACTTGCTGTTCTTTAAGGACCATAACAACTTCTTCAGAAGATACAATTTATTGCTCCAGGACATTAATTCCACCAACTGCAAGCCGCCACAGTAGTCGTAACAAACTGAGCGGGGAAAAAATAATACAGCAATGATGTAATGGACAAAATATTTGAAAACTGACCAGTGGTAAGGCTATATATATATATATATATATATATATATATATATATATATATATATATATATATATATATATATATATATATATATATATACGCATGCGTATGTTTATAGGCGGTTTAATAGGTGTTTTTAAAATTAAAAATTATAAATATGTTACCTTTTTGTGTGTTTTGGTACCTTTTCAAAAAACATTTGGTACGATTTTGAAAACGTTTTTTGGCAGCATTGCATGTCAGTTTAATTTTATGTAATGTTTCATCAGAATGTGTCATTTCAGGTCAATATGTCGGAAAGGATGTTAACTGTTTTTAGTTGTGGTAGGTTTTCTGACAAGTGTTAATTATTAAAATTCCCTCTATATATAGACAGACTGATATACTTCCGTCGCCCGGATACTGAGCTGAGTGTGAGATGCATGTTCATTTGAATGTTTTTGGATTGTTTTCAGCGTGCTTTATTTTGTGAACTGCAGATTCAGAAAATAGCGAGTACCTGTTGCCAGAGAAATAGTGGTACTTGATGTGATTGAGTGCGTGTGTATACAGGTGTGAAATATTGTCTGGATTTTTTATTATCCGGGATACGCCAGTGTGTTGGGAAATGAACAGGTGGACAGACTGGCTGGCTCTGCACAACTTGGGGGAATACTGATTGCATGATAAGGCAGACGTGGTTAGTGCCTTGTGGGAGAGCGTGTACAGTTCGGAGGACCAGATGGATCACATCTGTCTGGTGAGACTGATGCAGCGGGGAGTGACAAGGTGTTTTGGCAGATGCTCGAGGCTGAGAAGTAAGGCAAGATGAACGTTTAATCAGAATGCTACTGGCACCAGGTGTTTATCGCTTGTGTGATGTCTTGGTGGGGTACAACTAGAGAGAGACATTTTTGTCCACATGCTGCCTGCTTGCCTTACTGAAACTTTCCCTCCAATATATGTGTTTATGGTCCTTATCGCCATGAGATTGCAGGCGACCCCTGGCTGGTGCAGCCGTCACGAGTTCCTTAATTATCACTGATTAGTAGGATGAACAGGATGTCTAGCATCTACATTGTTGGTTTGCCGTTCGGAGTGAGATTATTACATCTCAGGATGGCATGGCAAACCTTTGGGTAGCAGTCCACAGGGGACAAACCGATTGATCGATATATTGTTTGATACAAAAGTATGTTTTTTAAATGTGGTCAAAAGTTATTCCTACTTGTTTTTGTTGTATGTACAACACAATAAATCAGAAACAATGAACTGTTTAGGACAAGCAAAAACATCCCTGCCACTGAGGTAAGAAAAATCAGTTAACAAGTTAACACACGGTTGTGAACCACAATTAAGGGTGACCGCATTGGATTGTCAATACTGCCGAATTCTGGCCCTGGCTGTATAATCTCTATGACTGCTGTACGTTCAACTCTTGAAATTCCCCCATCCACCTACCCCCACATGTATCGCTGTTTACTTCACGCTATCCTTCCTTCCGTTCCTGCTCCTCTCCCTCAGTATGTCTTTATAAGAACATTATGTCTAAATATGGCAAAGATTTTTCATGTTGCTCATGTTACAGAAGAAGACCACAGATGAAGAAGACACGAGAAGAAAACTACAGTAGAAGACACGCGAAGAAAACTACAGTAGAAGACACGCGAAGAAAACTACAGTAGAAGACAAGCGAAGAAAACTACAGTAGAAGACACGAGAAGAAAACTACAGTAGAAGACACGCGAAGAAAACTACAGTAGAAGACACGAGAAGAAAACTACAGTAGAAGACACGAGAAGAAAACTACAGTAGAAGACACGCGAAGAAAACTACAGTAGAAGACACGAGAAGAAAACTACAGTAGAAGACACGCGAAGAAAACTACAGTAGAAGACACGCGAAGAAAACTACAGTAGAAGACACGCGAAGAAAACTACAGTAGAAGACACGCGAAGAAAACTACAGTAGAAGACACGCGAAGAAAACTACAGTAGAAGACACGCGAAGAAAACTACAGTAGAAGACACGAGAAAAAGGCGCCAGCAAGAAGACACACGTAGAAATGCACACACACACACACAAAACACCAATGCAGAATTGAAAAGAAGATATCTAACAATAACATCAGGTCTAACTTGTTATCATCAGTCACAAGCGTCTCAGGCTGTCTGATCTTGAACCTTGCTACCGTATTCCACATTGACATCCGCGGAGTGCTCTACTGGCGTCGAGACTACACATTCTTTCACTAAATCTGTATTTGCCTAATGTCTAAATATGGCAAAGATTTTTCATGTTGCTCATGTTACAGAAGAAGACCACAGATGAAGAAGACACGAGAAGAAAACTACAGTAGAAGACACGCGAAGAAAACTACAGTAGAAGACACGCGAAGAAAACTACAGTAGAAGACAAGCGAAGAAAACTACAGTAGAAGACACGAGAAGAAAACTACAGTAGAAGACACGCGAAGAAAACTACAGTAGAAGACACGAGAAGAAAACTACAGTAGAAGACACGAGAAGAAAACTACAGTAGAAGACACGCGAAGAAAACTACAGTAGAAGACACGAGAAGAAAACTACAGTAGAAGACACGCGAAGAAAACTACAGTAGAAGACACGCGAAGAAAACTACAGTAGAAGACACGCGAAGAAAACTACAGTAGAAGACACGCGAAGAAAACTACAGTAGAAGACACGCGAAGAAAACTACAGTAGAAGACACGAGAAGAAGGCGCCAGCAAGAAGACACACGTAGAAATGCACACACACACAAAACACCAATGCAGAATTGAAAAGAAGATATCTAACAATAACATCAGGTCTAACTTGTTATCATCAGTCACAAGCGTCTCAGGCTGTCTGATCTTGAACCTTGCTACCGTATTCCACATTGACATCCGCGGAGTGCTCTACTGGCGTCGAGACTACACATTCTTTCACTAAATCTGTATTTGCCTAATACATAATATGATTTCATCCGTACTGATCAAAGTGTTCTGTGGTCGAGCGATGGGAACAAAGCAATGGAAATATTAGAGGTAAACAGAGATAACTTGTGTTTCGTGGTCTTGGTAATCTTAGTTTCAGCTTCATAGCAAACGGGTTACCCCAGACTTGCTTCCCTCCTGTGCCAACGAACAACGCACATAATGTTCATCACAGCCCCTTGTGGAAAGATTGACAAGACTGCTGTCTAAGCATGCACTAGCATACAAACGCGTTAAAAACATACGGTAGCCATCAGAAGTGCTAACACAAACAGTCCGACATTAGAAATGCAGTTCATCATCGGCGGTAGCAGAAGTTACCAACAGATCAGCAGTTGCACACGCGATCAATTTTAATCATATAAGGGCACCAACAATATTGCGACGACACACCACGCGATATTTTCTGCTGAAACTATAAATCACAACACCACGTTGGTCACAGGCGAAAAACATTCCAAATGAAATCTGGAGCTCATAGTGTCGCGCCATGCACTCAGCTCAGTAGCTGGGGGACGAAACTATATCCTTCCAGTCTACAAATGGAGCAAAAATGCAACGGTCACAGTCTAGCAGTAGCAAACAATTTGTCACGACTCAAAACAGTGACAGTGCCTAGCGTCCATTTTGACCGGAAGCGTCTATGGCAGTGGTAGGGTGAAATACCATCACATAATGCATCCTTAGAATCAAAGTGTTTGTTTGTCGGTGTGTTTGTTTGTAAGCGTGTGTGTATGTAAGTTTATTTGTTTGTATGTGTGTAAGTATTTATGTAGAAAAAGAGGCCGTTTCTGTGTGGTGATGGGACTGAACCATTTGCCTTAGGTTTAAAGATACTGGGTTCGGTGACTGACACTGCCCTTCTGTTCGTGCCTGTGGGCGGCTTAGAAGATCTCTAGCGGTCATTGCTGGAGCCACAGAGTTTCGTGCGCTGCTCTAGACCCAAGTCCACAAATAGAAGAAAGACCAGGACTTTCTGCCGGAGTTTTCTGCCGCTGTACACGAACAAACTGTACAGTTGAACATCAATGTCCTGGCGAACCTGAGGCATTGGCTAACTCCCATATTTTTCTTTCTTAAAAAGACCATAGCATTTCGAACCTAGGATCACGAGCTGTAATATTACAATTATAACAAATTGTATCAGTGTATGACAAGACCAAGCTTTATGTATCCTAATTGTAAGCCACGAGAGATCAACTGAGTAACTATTTTAATTAACTTTTACAATTAACAAAATACTATTACCACCAACACCATCACAACAACAACAACAACAACAACAACAACAACAACAACAACAACAACAACTACTACTAATTCTACTTCCACTACAACCGCCACTATCACTACTATTGCTACCAGTACTTTTACTACTACCACCACCACCATCACAGCTAATGCTGCTACTACCACCCTTATTACTAGTACTACTGCTGCTACCACTACCACAACTACTTCTACTGCTGCTGCAACTACTACTACTACTACTACTACTACTACTACTACTACTACTACTACTACTACTACTACTACTACTACTACTACTACTACTACTACTACTTCTACTACTACTACTACTACTACTACTACTACTACTACTACCACCACCACCACCCCAAAAATCATCCCTACTACTGCTGCTGCTGCTACTGCTGCTGCTACTACTACTACTACAACGTTTTACCAGAGGAAAAGTCTTTTATGTGTAGGGTTATAATCATATTCGGTCGCGAGTGCAGAGAGTGGCCAGCGGGTGCTACGGAGGTAAAGTTCAACAGTTGATTCACAACAATTCACACACAGGTGATGTGATTATCTATACAGATGGTTGGGTGCTGAGAGGAAAGAGAAGTGCCTGGGGGTTCGTAGCGAAAGCCAACGGGAAAATCTTTAGTGCAAGACAGCCTAGCGTATGACACCACAACATCTAGCATGAGAATGGAGGTGGAGGTGGTAAATGTAGCTCTCCAGTGGCTAGAGAACAAGATGCACACACATATCGTAAATGTAACAGACTCTGAAAGCATGCTAAGAAAGGTAAAGACAGGTATGCTTCGAGCAGAGTGGCAAGCTTCATTTGGAAGAGGCTAGATGTTCAGCTGCGGATCCGAAGGTTATGGATACTGGTCTAGACGAATACGACCTTAGCTCCCAGATTATACTAATTTAAAGAATAAAATTGGGTTAATGACGAGTGACAGGACTACAACAGTGACTATGTTAACGAAGCAGAGGTCTAAAGTGTTAGAAGAAGTAGAAACATTATTCAATGAACCAATCGAACCACTTCCCCGGACCCAAACAAGAGACAAATACCAGAAATACCTAAACCATTGTCTGACATTATTGTGGAATTAGACTATCCTTCGATGGAGTAGTCTTCCTCCTCCTGCTTATCTTCTACTTTCTACCTGTGCCAACAGCTATTAACTACAGTGGTAATGTTATACTGTATACAAGAGCATCATTTTGCCAGTTCTTCTTTATGGAGCAGAATGCTGTAGAATGACCAAAAAGGATGCACACAAGCTGTCCACCTTCCACCACACATGTCTACGTAGAATTATCAAAATTTTCTGGCCAGATACAATCTCAAACACTAAACTACTTCAAGTCACAAACCAAGAAACTTTAGACAGTATGAAAACCAAGAGAAGATGGAAATGGCTTGACCACGTTATGAGAATGAATCCTGATATACCTGCCAAAACAGCTCTCACATGGACACCAGAGGGAAAGAGAAAACAGTGGCGCCCAAAAACAACATAGAGACGAACGACGGAAAGTGACCTGAGTGCGGCATCTTTGACATGGAAAACTGAACTGAAGATTGCACAGGACAGGAAAGCATGGAAAGTCCTCTCTGAAGCCTCGTGTGCCACTAGGCATAAAGAGAACTGATGATGATGATTAATTTATACTATATATTTTTGTCACACATAAATCAATAAAACATTTTTTTTCCATTGTTTTTTCTGGGGCGGACAAATGGATTAATTAGATGTGCCTTGATTTCATTAGGAAAAAATCAAAAATGGTTCGACTTGCGAACATTTCGGTTCATGAACGGTGTTAAAGAAGGAATTTAGTTCGTCACCCGATGTACCACTGTACCCCCCCAAAAAAAATTAGTAATTATTCTGTTATAGGATGTATTAGCAGCTTATATGGTAACCCTTCTTCTTGGGATGTACTGTTTAATCCTTTCCCGTAGTTCTTTAGAGCATCTACTCCCAGCACGTTTTCAGTTGTCAAATATTTATTCTGTGATCTTGTATTTTGTTTCGTTCCAAAATTATTAGTGGCTATTAAAGTTTTTAATGATACTAGTCGATGTAAAAAGTGGACCTGGGTTCGCATCGCCGTCTGCTGTAATCCGTCTTATGTTGAAACATGTCTTCTGATGGGTTTAATTTTGTTATGGAAGGAAAGATTCCTGGTAATATTTGTTTTAAATAAAACCAATTCGAAATCGCATTCATTATTTCCTTATATTGTCATCGAAGTACGCCCCCCAAACAGGGACATCATTTAGTATAGAAACGAAAACAGTATCTCATCACTGTCAGCAGACTGTCAGTATCCAACAAGTCAGTAGGCTGACATGAAACTAGGTCTAAAGTCCTTAATGTTAACCTACAGTGCATTAATTACAATGCTTTTAAATTATCTGGTAATTTTATTAGACTCTAGCTACTGGATCAAATAACCCTTTGGAACAGAGGGTCACTAGAACTATTATTGTCGAAATATTAATTTGACACACACGTAAATGATCATTTAGTTGTTCCTGTTGTCATTTTTGAAACAAGTAGAAGCCCCTTTTCCACCTTATGCACATTAAACATATTTTTATAGACATTTAAACCTGCCATGGGTAATGTGGTTAGTATCAGGCCAGGGATCTTTACTGCCATGGACATTTCCCAGTATCAGTTTTAGGCTGAGTCGAGAAGCAGCCCAGATCTGTTAATATTTAAAAAAAAAATCAGCAGCATTGGGCATTCAGACACAAGACTCCCAGCCAGCCATCAAGCTGTGCTCTCACCGTTTCCAGTAAACACTTTTATAATAAGATTTAAATAGCAAAGTATAAAGGGCACAATTGACACTATAACTGTTGAAGGCCTGGCATATAACACCACAATATTTTAGTGTGAGAATCACTGCATCTTTTTGCTGGCTTGAGAATTAGCTACACACAGGTGTGTGTAACCAGTTCACAGAGCTTGTTGAGAAAGGTGGAGACCGGTATGCTCCATGAAGAGTGGGAAGCATCGCTCCCCAGGATGTGCTTGTGTTTTAGGAAATGAACAGGCAGATAGACTAGCTAATACAAGATAGACAAGTACAAAGAAACATCCAGCTAGGAGGCCCTGGAACTAACACAGGGGGAAGGCATGGGTATGATATGTGGACAGGAAGTGCGGATGTGATGAGGTGAAATGGACAATTACTGCAGGGTAGTGGCTGGAGCATTTACTGGACTGTTCAGTTACCAATCAGTCAGGTGCCATCTCCTCAATAAAGGTTCGCTGCAAAAGATCTCAAAACAGGCTCTGTCTCTTGTCATGGTCAACACTTTTGTCCATTTCTTGATGTTAGCCTCCCACTTGTAGCACTGTCTACCTCTTGCTTTCTTGTCTTCGACCTTTCGTTCTAGTATCTGTTCAGTAGTCCAGGATCAGATATACATCAAAACCAGATTTTATCTTGGAGGTTAAGCCAGTTTCGTAACACTGGGCAAATGTAGTCCCATAGCGGATGCAGAAACACGGGATAGCATATTTTTTCACATATTTTAGGCTAGAACATGTTATTGGGCGACCATTTCTCTTTCTTGCCAATTTTTCTTGCCTTCTCTTCTTCCAGAAACTTTTCAAAGAAATTCTGTACAGTGTCTGGTAGCCATGTTTATGAGGTTGGGTTAGCCACAGAGCCAGACTGGTCAGTAATAAATAATCCTGCCTCTGCTGGAGATGGAACACACACCACTGTCTTGGCAGGTACAGTTACTGACATCTGTGCCACTCCTGGATATCAGATCATTGCTGGGAAAGTAATGCAAGCATGTGATAGTGTGGAGAAGTAATGTAACTCATGTGATAGTGTGGAGAAGTAATGCAACCATGTGATAGTGTGGAGAAGTAATGCAACCCATGTGATAGTGTGGGAAAGTAATGCAACCCATGTGATAGTGTGGGGAAGACTGCAACCCATGTGATAGTGTGGGGAAGTAATGCAACCATGTGATAGTGTGAAGAAGTAATGCAACTCATGTGATAGTGTGGGGAAGTAATGCAACCTCTGTGACATAACAAGCCACTGTGCTATTCCAGCTGCCGTCAACTTGGTTCTGAGACCACATAAACAGCAGTTACAAAGATATCTGGTCATACATATTTTTATTCTACAAACACAGTTTCCCCACAGACAACACACATTTTAATGCAGCATTCTCTTGCTATTCATTGTAGAGGAAGGAACCGCACAGTCTAAGCTGGTGGAGCATACTGGTGGATGCCACTGTGGAGCAGTCAGGTTTAAAGTCAGGGCAGCCGAGAATCTAGTGGCTTATGACTGCAAGTAAATGTGGCAGATTCTTAGTGGTTTTATTGTTTGCTATAGGGGTTTGTACTGGGTTGTTTGTCTGCAGGCGGGTAAGAGTTTAGGATATAATGTGCATATTCTTCTCTGTCAATGTGTGAGATCACTTCGTTGTTTATTTTCTGCCGTTTTCCGGTATCATCTCGTCTGTCTGTCTGCCTGCCTGCCTGCCTGCCTGCCTGCCTGCCTGTCTGTCTGTCTGTCTGTCTGTCTGTCCTGTCTGCCTGTCTGTCTGTCTGTCTGTCCTGCCTGCCTGCCTGTCTGTCTGTCTGTCTGTCTGCCTGCCTGCCTGCCTGCCTGCCTGCCTGCCTGCCTGTCTGTCTGTCTGTCTGTCTGTCTGTCTGTCTGTCTGTCTGTCTGTCTGTCTGCCTGCCTGCCTGCCTGCCTGCCTGCCTGCCTGCCTGCCTGCCTGCCTGCCTGCCTGCCTGCCTGCCTGCCCTGCCTGCCTGCCTGCCTGCCTGCCTGCCTGCCTGCCTGCCTGCCTGCCTGCCTGTCTGTCTGTCTGTCTGCCTGCCTGCCTGCCTGCCTGCCTGCCTGTCTGCCTGCCTGTCTGTCTGCCTGTCTGTCTGTCTGTCTGTCTGTCTGTCTGTCTGTCTGTCTGTCTGTCTGTCTCCTGCTTTCCACAAACTTTTATCTTTTTCACTTGCAAACACCCCCCCCCTTTCTGTCTTTTTCCCCCCCCACCCAAAAGAAAGGGTTGGGGGGGGGGGGGGGGGTTGGGGGGGGGGGGAAGTAGCAGTTCAACCCTCAGTGTTACTGTGTATGGACAGTCCTGTTTTTAAAAAAAGTCAGTGTTTAGATTGTCTTTATCCTGCCTTCTCTGTCTCTCAGTCAGGGGTTTGTGTGGTGAAGTGTTTAAGCAATTAGTCTTATGCCTAAATGGTTGTGAGTTTGATAGTGACCTCCATCATTCAGTTTGTGAGTCCAAGTGTCTTAGAAACTCCTGATGTCTGGTTCCTGGAGCTACAGAGTTCATGCTTTGTTCAATGCTATCATGGGCAACCAGCTACTCTGTGAAGAGAGCCTTCTGAGTTTGAACCTTGTGCAACGAACTAAAAAATCCTAAAATTTTAAAACACTTTTTTAAACATCACTCCTTTTAATCACTTCTGTAATTACTATAATTGTTGTGTATTCATCACAGTATCTTCTCTCATTCTGTCTGTGTACCTTAGATCACTTCTGAATTTACTGTAATTGTTGTGTATTCAGCGTAGTATCTTCTCTCATTCTGTCTGTACCTTAGATCACTTCTGAATTTACTGTAACTGTTGTGTATTCATCGCAGTATCTTCTCTCATTCTGTCTGTTCTTTAGATAACTTCTGAATTTACTGTAACTGTTGTGTATTCATCGCAGTATCTTCTCTCATTCTGTCTGTACCTTAGATCACTTCTGAATTTACTGTAACTGTTGTGTATTCATCGCAGTATCTTCTCTCATTCTGTCTGTACCTTAGATCACTTCTGAATTAACTGTAACTGTTGTGTATTCATCGCAGTATCTTCTCTCATTCTGTCTGTTCTTTAGATAACTTCTGAATTTACTGTAATTGTTGTGTATTTATCGCAGTATCTTCTCTCATTCTGTTTGTACCTTGGATCACATCTGTATTTACTGTAACTATTGTGTATTCAGCGCAGTATCTTTTCTCATTCTGTCTGTTCCTTAGATCACTTCTGAATTAACTGTAACTGTTGTATATTCATTGCAGTATCTTCTCTCTGCTTCTCTCTTCGCCTTAACTCCTTTTCATTCTGCTTCTCTCATTCTGTCTGTACATTAGATCACATCTCTATTTACTGTAATTGTTGTATATTTATTGCAATATCTTCTCTCATTCTGTCTGTACATTAGATCACATCTGTATTTACTGTGATTGTTTTGTAGTCATCACAATATCTTCTCTCTAAGCATCTCTCTATAGCCTAACTCCTTTTCATTATGTTTCTCTCATTCTGGCTATCAGCCTATGCTACTCTCTTTCTCTCACAAACAAATGCACACTAGAACAACATAGTTATTCTCTTTGTCACAGCTTTAAGAACCTAAGTATTTCCTTATCTTTTATATTTCTTCTGCTTCTGTCCCCCTCTCTCCCTTTGGGTGTATTAGTGTACATGTATGTTTGTGTGTTTATATCTTTGTTTAGTGTGTGGCGGGTGCCTGTGTGTCATTGCGTGTGCATCTTCGTTTCCCCCCTTTTATTTTTTTATTCACTAATCTCTCTTATATACACAGACTCACACACACAATCACCTATACATACACACACACACACACACACTCACTTATATATACACACTAACTTACACAGACAGTAATCACTTCCACCACTGATGTTTCAAATAATCTGTTTTAGGACTGAATAGTTCAAACATACTGGACTTTATTTGATCAAGGTTAAGAAACAGCTTTAGGAATATAACAAACAGAGATATCTTAATCACAGGCGGTGACTTCATTTTACCCTCACCTGATATTATCTACCAGTATTAGTGGGAAGATCGCAGGCATTTGTATAGAAAGAAAGACAATAACAGCATACTCAACTATCAAATGTTATCTTTCCTAACTCATTAAGTGCCCTTCTGACTATATAATGTTGTCTTTCCTAGTGTTTAATCTTGACAGCTGCATATAATTCTTATCCCTCATCATGTACAGAACACACACACACAAAAAGCAGTGTCTGTGCTAAAGTCTTTAGTCTCATGAAGATGAAAAATATGGCTTTGCGAGAGAGGTCTTATAGTAACAGCTGGGACAAAATAGGTTAACATAGCATAAGAATGGGATAGGTAAAGTAAATAAATGTGTTTTGTGTATACTGTAACCAGTGAGTGTATGATGTTCCTCACTACTTAAAGTATTAATCAGCAAACCAACACACAAACCAACAAGCAAACCAATAAACCAGCCACCAAACCAGCCATCCAACCTTAACAACCATCTATCTAGCCAACCTACCTACCAAACCAGCAGTCCAACCTCACCAACCATCTATCCAGCCAACCTACCTACTAAACCAGCCATCCAACCTTACCAACCATCTCTCCAGCCAACCTACTTTCCAAACTGGCCATCCAACCTTACCAACCATCTATCCAGCCAACCTAACAAGCGAACCAGCCATCCAACATTACCAACCATCTATCCAGCCAACCTACCTACTAAACCAGCCATTCAACCTTACCGACCATCTATTCAGCCATCCTACCTACCAAACCAGCTATCCAACATTACCAACCATCTATCTAGCCAGCCAACCTACCTACTAAACCAGCCATCCAACTTTACCAACCATCTATTCAGCCAGCCTACCTACCAAACCAGCTATCCAACCAACCTAACAAACAACTATCCAGCCAACCTACCAACCAACTATCCAGCCAACCTAACAAACAACCATCCAGCCAACCTACCAACCAACTATCCAGCCAACCTACCAACCAACTATCCAGCCAACTATCCAGCCAGCCTACCAACCAACTATCCAGCCAGCCTACCAACCAACTATCCAGCCAACCTACCAACCAACTATCCAGCCAACCTACCAACCAACTATCCAGCCAACCTATAAGTGAACTAACCAAAACAACAGACCAGATATATCCTGTTAGTGTGTTTATGTGAATGTTTGTGCTAATGTTTGTACAACTGACCAGTCTGTTGATGGATTGTTTGCAGTTGCAGTATTTGTGTGAAGAAACAGATTAAAGGCTTTATTGTTCCAGAGTCAGATTTCACTTTATTGCAGGTATTTATGTACGTTTTGTCCTTGTTAAGACATTTGTAAAAGTACCAAGTAATCTTTTCACGCAAATGGCGCATGAGGCATAAAATGTTAGATTCATATTTTTATTAAGCATGGGTGAAGTGGGTTAAGGTAAAAAGTGAGAGGATCGACTTCATTGCACCAAATTTTATCCCATGTGGCTCAGTCTCTCTCTGCATAACAGCTAGCTGCCTGCCGATAGTGCCACACAGAGCACGACCTCCATAGCTCTGGCGACAATCCCCAGGGATCTCTGTAAAAGTTACATGAACTGAACGGCGCCGACATGAAACGAACCCAGGACCTCCAGTGCATGAGGTATGGCTTGACCATTTTGCCACGGAGACCTGCCCCCACAGAGACTCAGTGAGTGATGTGGTCAGTGTTTACTTCCCAGGACATTTTCTCATACCTATTCCAGGCAGCATGGCATCCGTGGCTCAGGTGTTGTGAGTCCGACTCGTAATTCCAACATACCGCGATTGAAACCCACTGCTGGCTGCATGGATTTTTATCATGGTAGGGGCATTGCAGGTGGACGCAGCCTAAAATGGGTACCAGGATGGCTGTCCTGGGGAAGTAAAGAGGGCCGGCGTAATACTGACCACATTACCCACTGAGTGCCTATAGGTCTGTAAAAATATGGGACGCTCTTCCCATATGCCCGATGCTCCTAAGGTGTGAAAAGGGATCATTACTTACTTACTTACTTACTTATTCCAGGCAGCAGACACAGCTACAAAGGTTTCGACCAGTTTTTACCAATGAAGAAAACAGGAAAACTCAACTGCAGAATTAAAAGCATCTCACAGAAAAGTAGAAAAGTAAAGCCATGTATTTGACTTGCGCAGGTGAAATAAAAAAAAGAGCCTGGCTGGGAGGAACCACAACCTGTTGTCTGTGGTCATTCTAGATGCAAAGTTCCAGCTAAGAGCCTGGTCAGCGTAGATAGGATTAATGTTTTCTGTAGGTCAGAGTGCATCTGCCTGACAGGCAAAAAACCAGCAGTCTGCACACAGATACACGAGATCCTCAAAATGGATATGCATGCAACACTAATGTACCGGGAGGGGGGGGGGGGAGCCTAGAATTGGACCAAAACCAGGGACATTCAGCTGAGTTTACAGCCAGTGAGCCAAAGAAGATCTCACAGAGAAAACAAAAATGTCATTTACATGACCAGGAGAACAACAGAAATACATAGGGTTTTTTCCTCTCCATTGTAGGGATGCCATTATTTTTGTGTGGAATTATTGTATTTAGTTTCTGTAGTTAGGTATTGCTGTTTTTATTTTTTGGTTTTGTTGTTGAAGACTTTTGTAAAATAATTCTTTGTTAACTAAGTATCTTTTCTTGTCACTGAGTTCCCCAGTTACGTTCTGTGTTATTTTAGTTGTTTGTCACAACTTCAACAGCAGGCATCCCCCCCCCTTTCCCCCCGCCCCCTTTCTAAAGTACTAATTGTTCATGTAAAAGACCCTTTTCATGTTATTGGAGCATCATGAATATAGGGCTGGGCCCATTTTTTTTTATGGACACTTCACAGGTCAGTGAAGCTTCATATCCTTGTCTTGTATTCACAGGGAGCAGACAACATAACCACATATACTTACAATACCAGACAGGCTCAACATACTTTCTGTAAAACATGTGGTGTGGAGAGTTTCTATACTCCCAGGTTAAACCCAAACGGGCGTAGTAAGTATAAATGTGGCTGTATGTATATATGTATGTATGTGTGTGTATACACAAGTAGGTGTAGGCATATGTGGTATTGAATAAAGGACTGCCCATACATTAAATGGGCTAACAAGGACAGCAAAGAATAGTAAGAATGTTACCTACCATGTGTGCCAAATGAGTAGGCAACTGTGGAGGGTAGCTGTAATACTGACTGTCCCAGTCCATAAAAAATTTGAGGAAAATCCAACAAGTTAGTTAGTGATCACATCATCCTCACTGCACATAGTACCATTTACTTCAAAAGTGCTCAGAAAGGTGGAGATAGGCATGCTCCGTGCAGAGTGGCAAGCATCACTTCAGAGGTCCTGGGTAGTAAGCATCTTTTAGATATTTTCTCCAGGCCATGCCGGTGTGTTGGAAAATGAGCAGGCAGATAGACTGTTCTGTTCTGCACCACTTGGTGATGTATAACAAGCTGGATGTTGTGAGGGCTCTTTGGGAGCGAGTGAACAGTACTGAGGAACAGATAGATCATTACGGTATGAGGAGAATAGCACTGCGAGGAGTTACAAAGAGATTTTGCCGACACTTGACACTCAGGGGAAAGGCGAGATGGATATAAAATCAGACAGTTACTGGTACCATCGAAATTGGAACTCTTCGCTTGCTGCTGAAAATGGGCTCGGAAGCTCTTATGGGGGTGTCCTGAGTGCTGTGATGTCGATTCTTAGTTCAACATTCAACATTCAGTTCTTTCCCCGTGTGGGTTCCGGGGCCCTATTGTGGGGAAAAACAAGAATAGACCCACTGCCTACCCAAAAGCATGTCGTAAGAGTCGACTAACTGGGAAGCTTCCTTTGAAGTCGGAGTGCATCTGCCTGAGAGGCAAGGAACCAGCAGACTGCATTCAATTGAATCAGATCTGTAAAATTGATGCACACGCAACACTCAGGTTCTGGAGCAGGACTGCAGCCCAGAAGTGGACGAACAACCAGAACTTTACGCCAGAGTTTACAGCTGGTGAACACGAAGAAGAAGAAGAAGAAGAACATTCAGTGCTCAGATCCCCTCTTTTATAAATCTTGCAGTTTGTAGCAGCTGATGACACCAGTGTTGGTTTATTATTCTTCTTTGGCTTCCTGCATAGTGCTTTTGTTTGGCCACACCCTGTTAACCTTGGTTGCAGATTTACAGTCCTCACTTGGTTGGTTTAGCTTCTTGAAGAGCATTGACTATATCAGCTTGATACAAGGCTTGCCCTCTCTCTACAGTAGTGTTACCTGCAGGACTATCAGCTGGCTCATTTCCTTGTCAACCTCCATATCCTGACACAAAAAATGAAACTAATCTTCATCAGCCATGACTGCCTCAGAGACATCAACCCATGGTCTTCAGTCTCAGCCCAACTCTGTCTTCCTGAGCCTACTCATTGAGTCATGGAGAAAGCATGAGTGAAGGTCTGTGTCTTCAGCTGTGTTATGAGCCTACTCATTGAGTCATGGAGAAAGCATGAGTGAAGGTCTGTGTCTTCAGCTGTGTTATGAGCCTACTCATTGAGTCATGAAGAAAGCATGAGTGAAGGTCTGTGTCTTCAGCTGTGTTATGAGCCTACTCATTAAGTCATGGAGAAAGCATGAGTGAAGGTCTGTGTCTTTAGCTGTGTTATGAGCCTACTCATTGAGTCATGGAGAAAGCATGAGTGAAGGTCTGTGTCTTCAGCTGTGTTATGAGCCTACTCATTGAGTCATGGAGAAAGCATGAGTGAAGGTCTGTGTCTTCAGCTGTGTTATGAGCCTACTCATTGAGTCATGAAGAAAGCATGAGTGAAGGTCTGTGTCTTCAGCTGTGTTATGAGCCTACTCATTAAGTCATGGAGAAAGCATGAGTGAAGGTCTGTGTCTTTAGCTGTGTTATGAGCCTACTCATTGAGTCATGGAGAAAGCATGAGTGAAGGTCTGTGTCTTCAGCTGTGTTACTGCCGTGACCTCCATAGTCAGACTGCTTGCAGTCAAGGCAAAAGCATCAGAATCTTCCTTCCCACCAGCCCTAGCTGTGACAGCCCTCGGGCTTCTGGTGTCGTGAACAACAGACCCATCTGTGTAAATCACTCTTTAGAGATTCCAGAGAATCAAGGCCTGCACTTCTGCCTCCACAGCGGCTGGCCTTTGTTGTCTGCATTTTCTATATAGCCAGATGCAAACAAAATCCAGCTAATGTTGAATAAGTATAAAGGGCTCAGCATAGGTTCTATAAAGAGCATTTTATGAGTTCTATAAAGGGCTAAGCGTAAGTTCTATAAAGGGCTTATCATTTCTTCTGCTCTCTGTCCGACATTCGGGTGTATATGCTGTCTCCATAATGGAGTTTGGTTGCATTCACTGGTGTCAATTGGAACATTCAATTTTGAGGATCCAGTTTCTTCCACGGTATAACTCTTGTACAATTGTTTTAAAGCCATACGAACTGTTTTTTTCCCTCTATACTGCAACAGAACTCAAGCCCTGCTATGTCAGGAATTGGGAAGCACATTCTCTAACTTCTAATCCTCAGTCCCAATATATTTTTTTTGTATAACTGAAACTTGAATTCTTTCATTTGTGCGACTAATTAGATAATGTGTATTTGATGTCCACATTCAGGCATCAATTATTATTGCTTAGATCCAGGAACCTATCAGTCTGTGAGATTGGTGAAGTTTGATGGAGTCAACTGGGATCAGGCTGTCAATGATCCCGTGGCCAAGAAATATTTTACAGATAACGCCTAAACAGGAGCCTGGTATCACAGCCATTACTGGAGTGTGGCACTAATGTAATCAGATGTGTTGTCTTGAATGCTACTGTTGTTAATTTTCTTCTTGTTTTTAACCCTGTTAACCCCAGATGGTGGTAGTTCTTTCAATTTGGTTACTGTAAACATCATCATGTGTCATTGAATCACCAGTTGCTGTTGAGTGTGTGATCAGTTCCCTGTACCTCTGTCAGTCAGTTTGCATATTACAGGTCATTCAGGCAGATTCTGTATCCAGGTCTTTCTTAGTCTGCCTCTTCTCCTGTTCCCTTTAACTGAGCCTGATGAAGCTACAGATATACAATCCAATATCAGCACATGCTGCTGCCACAGCTGATCACCCTGTGTTTGAAGGAAATCAAGTCTAATTCCATGTTCTTCAGCCTGTGACTTGCGCACTGATGATGGCCCCCAAATATTTCATGGTGCCTGCCAAAAATGTATGGACATTATACATTGCTGCAGGGTGAATAAATTCTAATTTTTTACTTTAAAAACTGTCACATTGTTAGTTATTTTTGTTGCCTTCCTGTTTGTGTCAGCAGAATTTTTTTTCCGGCCATGTCAGTAACAAAAAATTTTAATGATGCAAATCTATCTTTATCTTTAGTGCCCTCTTTCTCAGATTCAGTTCTTTTTGATTACTTAGATGTTAGTAAAAAATTGCTAGTCTGTTTATAATTAATTTGTGATATAAATTATTATACTGTTGTAAATTGTTATTGATAATATCACTTGTTATTCATATCCTTGTTATGAATGGCTCTTTTAACCTGAATTGTTAACTTGCTGTTGATTTGATATTTGATTTTTACATGTAAGTGCAATTATTTTCCAATGTTTTGTATACATTGATGTATCAGGGTGTCCCAAATATCTCCATACGTCAGAGAAAAAAAATATCAACACCCCCTTTACAAGCATAAGTCCTGCTGGGCTTATATGTTCTAAGGGACACCCAGTGTTTTAGTTTAGTTCAGTCTAATATCTGTGCATGGAAATTTTCAAGGAGATGGAGGTGGCTAGCATGATATGGACCACATCACACGAGCGCTGAGTTGTTGCTGATGAGGCTAGCACCATGTACCCTGCAAACCTCGAGGCTCGGAGAAGGGATTTTTGTTTACGTGATAATCAAACCCCTGCCCCATGAAATGGGATGCAGACAGTCTGACGTTTTGAATACATACCACTTGAGTAGGCTTGCTTCATCAGATAAAAATAGATTCTCTCATTAAAGGCATTAAAAAAAAAATTGCCTAAACTTAATTTTTTTACCAGGTCATGTGGGTGTTCAAGGTTATGAGCTCACAGAATATCTGACAGACAAGATGGTTGCCACGACTGGCCCGGAAGTGGATAAGACTTATGTTATTAAGGCCAGGCACAATTTATATCGTGAAGAAGATCACAACAACAAGCAGGACTCCGTATCCTTGTCCAGGTTGGTGGACATGGGGGTGCAGCCTAGAGTAGCTAGATATGAACATTTCACCAAGCGTACAGGGCTTTTGGTTAATCAACACAGAATGGATGTTTTACTATTTATGAGCTACTGATGAGGAGATCAGAGCATCTATGGATCTGTCTGGAGTACTGTGATTTTAGTCCTCAGTAATCACAAATACCCATTTGCAACAGGTGGTTCATTGTTAGTGACTTCTTAAATATTATAAACCAAACAGAGGAATCAAATAGCTGTTAATGCGTTGCTTTATCTCTCAGAAAGAACACTGCAGCAATATCAGTTTTCCATCTTTAAAGCAGCAGCAGATTAAATAACATAAAATTAAAATCTATTCAATCAATCTAATTTTGTAATAAAAGATTTAATTTTTTTAAATGCTATCTACAGTTGTTTGTTGTTCGGAACTGTTGTGAGCTGGTCCCATAAATATGTCTCCTATTTTGCTGGTCCACAGATGGGAAAAGGTTGAAGAACACTGGTTTCATTGATTCTATTGTTAATGCATTTATGCAGTTAACAGCATATCATGGATTTTCTCTCAGCGTTTTTTTGGGTGCTGGGGTAATGAGCAGGCTGATTAGCTGCTGCTCCTGTGGGTGATGAGCTACTTTATGATAAAGCAAGTGGGAGGAAAGGGCCTCTGGGATACAGAGGACAGTGCAACAGAACAGGTGAAGTATCCCTACCTGGAAAGACTGATTCATGGGGGAGAGGGAAAAAAGAGGGAGGATGAGGAGGTAGGGATCTGTATAAC